GCCCCATAAGAAAGAGTAAAATCCATCAATTCAATGAAGCCATTCAGTTAATTGTGGATGATATAACACTTTATAAAACCCAACAAGATAAAATCGATCTATATCTCTTTGGTGATACCGAACTCACCCATGATAAATTAGACAACCTATTCCGTTTGATTTTAACATTTAAATGCCCCTGAAAACTATACTTGATATAAGATAAAGCAGTCATGTACAGTCGGTTTGGATATTTGGTTCATCCCTCGTGAGATATGCGCATCTACCTTCGGTCCCTACGGTCCCTCAGGTAGATATGCATATCTCCCTCTGGATAAACCCCATATCCAAAACCTCCCAGTACATAACTCTTATTTATCCAATACTTGGACGTGTTACAGGTACATAAAGCCAGTTTGTAAAAACTTATATTTTCATTAGATGTTATATATAGCTTTACGTCCCGCTCTAATCGGGCGCTACGTCATAATCGCAGTTCCCGTATTGGTTCTTTTTTGTAACATTCGCAAAGTGTAAACGACAATGGAGAAAAACTCAGATAATCGCGATTTGTTTGATGCTTTAAAGAAGGGAAGGAGCAGTATGCCCCATTAATAATCAGAAAGATTTGAACAGGAAATTCCGGCTACGGACAAGAATACAAAACTGGACATGAATATTTTAAAATAATTCCACTCTTGGTTGCAAAGTTTCTGAACTTTGTGATTCGTATGGGATAAAAAGATCATCCTATAGTCGGTTCAAGATATTTGGAAATTTCTTCTTGAAAACTGTTAAGGCTGCATTCATACATAATCTTAATCCAACTACCTTAGACCCCACCTACTCAAGCCCTCAACTTATTGGTCGCCCGATCATTGTTGCAGCAGGTCCCCACCAGTACTCTTCATTTATAACATGCCTGATCTTAAAATTGGGTGTTTTTTTTTTTTAAATTTATGTGCAACATTGTTATTGAAAGCGGACATACAATGCCAAAAGGCGATTCGCTGCATGATTGTGTATTATGCCATGAAAAATATATAAATGAAATAAACCTATTGTTTAAAAAAAATTTACACACAATGGAATATTTGAAGAGAACATTTTGATACCTATTTTTCTTACTGGTCTTTTTGTTTACTTTTATTTGAGAATAAACATGTTTTATGCTTCAATCATACTGACGATTGATTTTTATTCAAGATAATACTTAAACATATACATTTATGCAATACTTTTTGAAATATTGTCATAAAAAGGGAAGCATGGAACTGCTTATTTTAAGTTCTCATGTTTTTAACATAGAGTTGCCCTTCTCTTGAACACTGTGTCTAGTCGAAATATGTGGATGCGGTCTTGTACATGTAATGTATCGTAGGTGCTCTCGTACATTTTAGGGAATGGGGTCATTGCAAAAATATAACAGCAAAATCGAGGTTAGTGATTTCAGAGTTCCTACTTAATACTGAGTCTTGAAATATTGCATACATATTCAATATATATAAACTCTGTTAAGCATGATAAAAGGCAAGAAGTTTAGTTAGAAATAAAAGAGTTATCTCATGAATGGGACCCTTACATGGCTCCTAAAAGGTAGAAGACACTAAATGGTGTGACACTATAAGCTGAATTTTGTCCACATAGAGCATGTGCACAATACTAAAGACATGTAAAATTGAACTGTCAAAAGAACTGAAATATACTTACCAGCTCGCCTCTTCCGGAAGTTATGATACGTTATGCTGTAACTACGGTAATTAATTTTAAAATATTGAAAAAATCACAAAATACAAGTTCTGAGGTATATATCGCCATTTTTAAGCGAAGTAGCCCATGCTATGACTATATATTCGCACCCCCATATACATATATATATAAACTTCATCTTCACAATAAATTGAGCTTCTTTCAAATTTCCATTTTTTGAGATAAGTGCCATTTTCTTACAATTCAAGCCGTAAAAATAGTTGGAAAGTGCTTCCCAGTTGAGGTTAATGGCTTTTATACTTACATTAATGTATGGAGCACTTAAAATGTACTTAGAATCGTATAAATAGCTCTATTATGTGAGATTTATTTTTGTTTTTATTTTTACATTTTTCTCACCTCATAATTGAAGAGCTCCGCTGTTGATTTACATTCAGTTACACGTATTTCCTTGAAAATTCGCCATGATTGGAACAAATGATGGTTGGTTTATGTTATATTCATTTAGTTTGTATTTGAATCTAGCTACTTAAACACAAAACATGTTTTCATGTTATGCTAAAGAGCAAAGATCGCGAATTCTAGGTGAAGCCAATTATTTTGCACAAGTCATATCCTGATTGCATCATAGTTACTCTGTACTAGTCACATCCTGATTGCATCAGCCAATTCACGTGATTTACAGTTTACACATGGTTTCAATATACATGTTATACTACTTCCGGGTAGGGTAGTGTTTTTTATACTTTAAAAACGAAGCCATTTCGATCAGTTTTTATAATCCTTGGTAGAACTGAGAGGTATAACAATACATATTTAAATTAATACACATGAGTGTATTTGATGAACTCTCAAAAAATAAAACCCACAATAATATCTTTTTTATTCACAATTTCATGTCATTGTTTCTAACAAGTCGCCTCTTTCTCTCTTTTCTTTATTTTTGTCAACAGTCAAAATCGGAATTTAAAACTTGGTTTCTTTACAAGCTCTGCTTCTGTAAATACTAAATAACATGAAAAATGTTAAACCTTACATCCTTCACTTATTTGATATGAAATTGGCGATCATTGATATCATTTTTGTGCTCTTAAGTGTGGATCTTTTAATTTTTTAGTCAAACTTGATCGCTGATCTCTGTCGATGTGACGTCACGCATTAAGTATGCACGCATGGGCAGTACAATACATAAGGCAATATGGCGTCTTAGGCCTATACATGAGCCAGAATGGAGGTCTGCAAGTTGAATTGAATATGTTTGTTTATGCATCAATCGATCACACATATAATCCAGACAATCTTTCAAATCATATACTTAACATTGTAATGGATTTATTTATTTTGTGAGCTAACGTTCCCTTTAATTTTTATTGGTGAAGCAATGATTTTACCTAAAATGAGTCCCTGTCTTTGCATAGTGATATTCAAAAATCGAGAAGCAAAACCTATGTTGAATATACTGTGTATTGATGAAGTTTATATATAGCCTAGGGGAACTCAAAAATATTGTTATTATATCGGCAAATTCGCTCGAAAATGGTTGTACACCCTAGAAATTGAATGTTGTTGATTTTTTCAATATTTTAAAATAAATTACCGTAGTTACACCATAACGTATCATAACTTCCGGTAGAGGCGAGCTGGTGAGTAATTTCTATTATTTTGACAGTTCAATTTTACATGTCTTTAGTATTGTGCACATGCTCTATGTGGACAAAATTCAGCTTATAGTGTCACACCATTTAGTGTCTTCTACCTTCTAGGAGCCATGTAAGGGTCCCATTCATGAGATAACTCTTTTATTTCTAACTTAACTTCTTGCCTTTTATCATGCTTAACAGAGTGTAGTATGACAATATAGGAAAGTTCCAGGCACTACATTCCTGTAATAGAGAAGATATTTGAATAAGATTTCGTAAACGTAAATATATATGTAAAAAACAGATGCCAATATGTATCATTTTGATTCAGAACGGTAACAAATGGATGCTTTCATAAATTATCCTTTTATCATGGTGACTTATTTACAGAAGAACAAATGGCCAGATTTCTTGTGCATCCATTGCTTGAATAAACATTCCTCATCCAGTAAAGCATTTGACCACACCATTCCAAGACACCCTTATGAAACATTGAGAATTGATGGATAAGATATGAATCCATCAACCGAAAAATGCTATTACAGAAGAGAAAAACCATGGTTTCACCCTTCATACTGTGAACTTAAAAACTGGGTCCATATCATGTAATGATGACGCTGAAAATATTGAAATCAGGTACAACAATCAAGTTAATTCAGAGCCAAAGACTCATCAACCCACTGTTTTACCCAAAGATCAAGTTCCAGAGCCATTAATATCCCTGGATAGTGACGATGAGCAATTGACAGACGGACAATCCGTAAATCTCGATGATTTTGTAAATGTATTGCACTAAAGTTAAAAAAAATGTTTACAAAAACAGTAATAAAAAATACATTTAAATAATTTTCGCATTGAATTGTTGGCAATCAGCGACCATTACATGAATGACTTTGTTTTTTTACAAAATGTTTTCAATTATTGGTTTAAAAGCAAAAAATGAATTCAGTTTGCAATTTCAATACCAATCCTTTGTTTCAATTGATATCAGAAAACGTATTTATCTAAAATCGCATCGCATCCTAGCATTGCTGGCGCATTAGAAGCTTCTGTGTAGAACTCTGTCTGTCAACCGAATATACTGCTGTGTCGAAAACGTTCATTACATGGGAATGACGATTTTCATTAATTAACCAAGGTCATCAATTTCACTTTACAAAGAGGGAATTTGGAGATATGAAGTTAAGATAGTAAATATGAAGTAGATATGAAGCAAAAATGTAGACATGGTTAAATAAAAACGAACATCACGTGGAAACTGTATACCGATTCCGTGTTAAGATGCAGACTAGTATCCATTTATTTGGAGATATTACACACTAAATTGACATGCCCCTTTCGCGAAGGACTAAAGTATTCGTCGCTGACAAGTGAAATCGGTTTCAGTATTTTAAGTTTGAAAAAGTTATGACAACTTTGGTCGTTTTCCACGTTTTTGCGAATGTAAACAAAGGAGGTTTTTTATTCTTCCATCGACAAAGATGTATTTGGTTTCTATAGAAAGTAGGATAAATTCCCTTAAGCATGTGCTCTATAATATCGCCGCGCAAACTTGTTTCCGAACGTAATCTCAGTTTCTGTAGGACAAGGTCACCATTTTTCATAAGATTGTATGATTTATTCCGTATTAATGTAAGCAAAGCCACAAATATGGAATGATATAAACACTACCGTGTGTGAGGTACTGTTGAATGTTTTGTTTCACATCTACACTGTTTACAATTCCATACATCCGACTCTTCATGTGCGAGGTTCCCTCGCCAAATTTGCTTGGTGAGACAATGCCTGCAATTAAAACGTTATGAATGTTAGAGATTAGTTGTTTGTTACCACTCAATGTCTCTATTTTACATGCATATCTTTCTGATTTGTTGTCTAAGCATTATATCATAAATGGGATGCATGCCTCTGCAAAAATATTATCATTTAGCTGGGAACCTACCCGTAAGTCCTACCCTGCCTTGCGTCCACACTGCTAGAAATATTGATATGATCACTACTATCCCTGCTAACAGTCCTACCCTGCCTTGCGTCCACACTGCTAGAAATATTGATATGACCACTACTATCCCTGCTAACAGTCGGAAACTATGTGGCTGGAACAGAAGTGAACGCTTCTTCAAAAACAGTTGTAATTCACGATTTTACCAGTAGATGTGCTGAATATACAAGTTCCATCAGTTAAGTGAGGTTTTTGCCAAACATATTACACTCCTGCTTCCTAATCTTACTTTCATATTTTTAAAACTAAACAAGGACAGTTCTAAACAGTAATACTATTTTCAAGCTGGAAAGGTATTAAAATGAATGTCGAGGGTCATCGCGTTAGAGAGTCTCTGGTTTTATATAGTCCATGGTGTGACTCCAGAATATTAGGAATCAGTAACACAATATAGCGCAGCGACATTTGAACCAATATTTATGGACGTCGAATTGTTATAATATTTTAAAAATATCATTTGCTGAAAAGACTTCGGGCTTTTGATCGAAATATGTCTCTTGTCGTATTAATCGAGATTGACGCCATATGGCCTAGTTTGATGTCCGCCAGATCAAGTCAGTTTGGTACTCTCATCGGAGCCATAGTTACACTACGGAAACTGAGGTGCTCCAAGGACGAGATATAACAGCTCTGGTCTAATCTCATTTTTTCATGGACATTCCAGAGTATTTATTTCTCTACAGAGTTTGCATGGTTTCTCCTGAGACGAGACGACTCCCGGAGCTGTGGTTACCCTACCATAACCCCAAAACTCACGAGTCCTGATTCCTCAATAAAGATAAAGTAACTCCCAGAGCTGAGGTTACACTTCTAAAACCACAACACTCCCAGAGCCCTCGTGTTTCGAGATTTTTGTAAGAAATTACAGTGAAAGCTTCTTGGAGAAGTTGAAGAACTGGTCTAATCTCATTTCTTGATCGATATTTATTAGCTGCACTTAGAGCCATAGAGGTACTTAGCTTAGACTCCTTCTAAAGATACCTTTAAAGTATATGGACATTTTGTTATTTACAGGGTGGGCCAATAAAAATTGAAACATTTTTTATTTATTCAATTTTCTTTATACTTGCAGGTCAGTCCACAAAAATTCAGATAATGATAAAATGATTATTTGTGAAAATGTTATGTATGATTATTTTTGGCTTGTCATGGTAATGATCTGTATACTGCATAAGTCATGAAACTTTTTCAGATTTTCTCTGCTTGAAGCATCATTACTGGAAATACAGCATCTCATACCATACAATATATGCCCTTCAAATGGTCTCAACACAATTTCCATCAACTAAAACATTAAATTAGTTATCTCTAGGAGAAGCTAGACATGTCCCTCGTAGATAATATAGCTTAATTGACCCCAGCTCTTTTCAAAACTGGCACAGTATGTCTCAAATCTATCATTTAAGCCAAGCATGGCTTTCAAATACAGATCATACTGATGATCAGGTGGATGGAGGACATGTTCAGTAATTAAATGTCGAGCTTGTATATTCATATTACAGAAGTAGTTGACAATGATTTGTTTTTCAATTTTCTAAAGTATTGGAAGTAATACATGACTAACAAAAAAGTTACAATCAATGGAATTTATTTTTACTCAATGCGAGGGTTTCCTGAACTTGTCCTCCCCCACCTGAACACTCAGTCTGAGTTCTATGTGACAGTCATTCATGACTTAAATGACAGGTTTTGAGACATATTGTGCCAGATTTGAAAAAAAGCTGAGGTCAGTTAAGCTGTATCATTCAAGAAAGACATATCTTGCTTCACATTAGTACAAATACATATGTTTTAATTGATGGAAATTGTGTTGAGACCATGTGAAGGGTACATATTGTATGTTATGAAATATACTGTATTTTCAGCAGTGATATCTCAAGCAAAGACAATGTGTAAATCTTTCATGACACATCCAGAATACAGATTATGACTATGACAAGCCAAAATTAATCAAAAATACATATTTTTATCTTTAACATTTTCACAAATGATAATTTTACCATTATCTAATTTTTTTGTGGATTGAACTGCAAAAATAAGTATAATTGAATAAATAGAAAAATGTTCAAATTTTTATTGGCCCACTCTGTATTGTACAAATTTATGTAGGGATAGATTAAAAACCCTGTATTTAATTATTTTGTGAGAGCCATCTTTTACTGGTTACTGCCATACCACGAAACCAGGTCGGCACCCTTATAACACCTCCAAAAATCCCTTATCGATCGTCCCTGGCCTTTCCCCAGATGGTATACAGGGTGCTTGGGAAACAGGCCGGCGCAACATATGTTGCCTTGTAAGATGGTTGAGATGCCACAGAAGTGCGAGCCAACGCCAGAGAAGATGGAACAGGACTCCAGACGAGATGATGTGAGGACTGGTGGAATTGTGAGATTTGTTCCAAAGTTGAGTTTGGAGGAGTGCGAGACTCCTCGAATGGATAGATGCCCAAAAGAGCAGTCTGGTTTCAAGAGAACATTGCTTCCAAGAGAAGAGGAGAAAGTGCTCCAAAGAGAGGAGCAGAGTGTTGGCGTCCCTCTTATCAGAGTAGATGACACACATCCAGTGGACCTAGATGAAAGAGCCAAGGCGACTCTAGTCCGAGGAGAGCACATATTTATTTCCCCGGATATGACTGTGAAGATACTTCCTGGTGTAGAGATGGAAGGGACTTGATACTTTGCCGAAACTAAACTAAGAGGTGTTCCAGCTCCCGCTGTTGGAGGAGACAAATGGACTCGGTGGAAGAGAAAATTTTACTCAACTAAGTCCAGGTTGATGTACTTAGAAGGGAGTTTTGGAACTCTGAGAGTGCATGTGCTAAAATGCGAGATTGTTTACTGAGCAGAAAATGTTTAGGGCAAGTGGCGATCCATGAAGAGATGATCCACCTTGACGAGGATTCTATGTGAAGAAATGTCCACGTGGAGACTAAGAAGAGTAAAGCTGAGCTTGATGGTACATTAAGAGAGTTGATTTGTTCTTTGAGACAGATTACTCTGGATTTGCCAGAGACCAGAGGAGGATTGAAGACTCAAGAGAGAGCGGGGAAAACTCAAACAGTATAGCAAGATGAGGATCTCAGTACAATGCTGATAAAGTGACTACTGCCTCGGAACCCCATTGACAACCTGTGGCTGTTCGAGGAGTAGAAGCTCCCCAGGAATACTCTAGGACTCATCCTACAGATGTGAAGAAGAGGGAAGATAGCTCAAATGGTAACCATGGGCAGGCAATGGTTAAGCTCGCAGAGAAAGCAATGGATATTTGTGCGAAGGCCTTTGAATCAGTACAACAGGGAAGAAAGACAAGAATCGAAGCCACTCTGTTATTCGATGGAAAGACTACAGGGTACTTAAAGAACTGTATAGATAGCAACAATTGGAATGACGAGGAGAAGAGACAGAATTTGACTTATCAGTTGCGAAGAGATGCCCAGTAGATAGTACAAGAGCTGGAAGAGGGGCATACCTATGATGACCTGGTGGAGGCTCTGACAAAAAGTTTTGGGCCGGGTAAGAAAGGCTCTTTGTATAGAGCTGAGCTAAATGCAAGGAATAGACAACAAAAAAAACATTACGAAGCTTGGAGAGGGCTATAACTGATGGTGATGTCAGAGCAGCAGTACATCGCCGAGACCCAAGGTCTCTTGACAAAGCCATAGAAGAGGCCCAGAAAGAGGAAGCCTACCAAGAGTCTGAAAGGATCTGGAGGGGACGCAAGCTAAAACAATTGGTTCATCACATCTCAGTTGTGACTAGCGACATATTGGAGGAAAGACTCCTAAAGATGATAGAGGGTATGAAGGCGGAGATGATGAAAGTGATATATGAGGCATTAAAGCTCTTCAAAGAGAAAAGAGAACTCCGAGCTCCTCAATGTATTACTTGTAGAAAGTGTGGCGAGGAAGGTCATATCGTGAGAAGATATACTCTAGTTACCTGCTTTAATTGCTCAAAGACAGGGCACCTCTCTACTGATTGTCCAAAACCCAAGAAGAGAAGAGATGCACCAGGGATTCACCCAGTTTGTTTACTTGATGTTGAGCAGATGCAGATCCAAAGAGAGCTGAATCTGCTCAGAAGATAGTGGTTGCTGTTGAACTGTGTGGTGTTCCTGAAACATTTCTAGTAGACACATGATCTGTGGTGTATTTGATGAGTTTACACACCTTCAACCGAATTAACTACTGACGGAGACCACAATTGAAACCAGCCAGAGATGTATTGGTCCAACCAGATTGTTCTCTTATAGCTGTCGACCACTCATGCTCCATTGCGGTGGAGTTAGATGACCCTTAGAGATGAGATGGTAATTGCCGAAATTAGTCATTGTGGAATCCCAGGGGCAGACTATATGTTCGCCAGCAAGGCAGTGATCCATTATGGCTCCTTACAGATGTGTTTCCATGACTCCAACAGAGAGGGCGTCCCGAGTTGTAGTAGCTCCAAAAACGAGAAATCAAATGAGCCATGAACTTTCGTTACTCCCTGACAATATTTACAATAATATTAATTATGATTTTGATTTTATTATCAGTTAATATGTTGTATAATTACATAAGTGTACTTTTTGTTTATTTTTTCAAATATTAGTCAAGCAGATTAATCAAAATTGTTTGAATTGTTATATTTAAACAATTTAGGAGCCTCAATATTAGTAAATACATGAAAAAATACAGCAGAGTAAATATTGTAAATAAATCAAAATTTAGGAAGAACTATACCTTGAAAGTTCTCTAGGATCTTTATGAACAGAAGAGGAACATAATGTGCTAAAAACCAGAGGTATTTATATGATAAACCTGAGGAAATAGGTGAGAACGATTTTGCCATTTCATTGAAATTGTGATAAACAGTGCACGCATAAAGGATCCGTTACCCAATCTACCTAAAGATGCCCCCAAAGGTTTCATTGAAAATAACATGGAAATATATACTTTTATCGATTATGAACATATCCAAAATGAAATTAGGTCATTGGGATTAAAACTAAGGTCATTCAGTGCATTTAAGTTTGACTATGCAAATCATTCTAAATATCATTTTAGGGGTACTTTAGTCTTCACTCATGACTATTTTAAGCATGTTGACT